GCCCGCGTGGGCGTGGCGATGCCAGCGCAGGTCGTCGCTCTCGTGCGTCACGTAGCGCCGGTCCACGCGGCTCTCCAGGCTGCGCAGGTCCAGCCACATCTGGTAGTCCTGCGCATGGACACAAGTGCCGACCGCCTTCTGACGCGCTCGCTCGTGCAGTTTTCATCCAGTCGCACTCACTCCGATTTTTTTCTTTTCACGCATTCAGGAATTGATTTCTCCGCTCGCTCATTTTGTCAGCGCGTTTCTTCATTCATGTTTTCACTCACTCAGAGTTTGCCGGGCATTCGCTGAGCGACTCACTCATTTGGACACAGGTCCGATTTTCACTGGTTCATCCACTCCTATTTTGTCATCCATTCACCCCCCCCCCCCCATCAGTGGTCTGACCTGCAGCCAAGCGTGACTGAGTGTTTTGTCAACACTGTAGCGTTTCCTCATTTTCACCTGCAGAAGATTGTTGATCAGGTCGATGGCTGAAGAAGAAAAGGAAAAGGGGGGGGGGGCATTCAGACTGGGGTTACGGTGGGATGCGGGGGGGGGGTGGCCCCCAGTGAAGCCCCTCCAGCGCTTTATTTCATCTTCTAAAACATATTTCTCAATGATTTTCTCAGCCACCCAACGTATCAGTCGAGCCCCCGCGTAGCCTCGGTAGAGGAAAGAAAAAAAAAATCCGCAGAGAATGTGGAGGCCCCCCCCCCTCCCTCACTGCCCCCATTCCCTCCCTCCACCTGAGTGAGGGTCAGCAGAGGCTAATGAGCTAAGCTAACATGATGTTAACATTTCTTCAGGGGTCAGCGGTCTGAGCGGCTCCGGCAGCGCAGGCCCCCCGAGTTGGTGTGGGCGGGAGGTGGGGGCGCCATCGCTTGGCATTATGCACATGAATGCACCCCTGCTTTAATGAAGTGCCCCCAAAAGCTCCGCCCCCTGTGACCGCTCACATTTTTTCTGTCCCAATTGAAGCACTTCACTTATTTTTGTACTCAGCGTCACGTTCCAGGTTGACGTGGTAACCAAGTCGCGTTTTCGCTTTGGAACTTTTTGCAAGCGAACTTACTGACAAAACACAAGCACGCGCACACACACACACATGAACTCGCTTGCTCGCTAACTCCCCACCCATTTGCTCCCCCTCAAGAGGGCGGCGGGCGCGCCGGAGCCGTTTTCAGGCAGACCCTCAACCAGTCGCCAGCCAATTGCAGGGCAAAGACACTCACTCACGCAGCGACCCGTGCACAAAATCCCCTCAAGAGGGTGGCGGGCGCGCCGGAGCCGTTTTCGGGCAGACCCTCAACCGGTCGCCAGCCAATCGCAGGGAAAAAGACACTCACTCACGCAGCGACCCGTGCACAAAAATAAAAAAGGACATGTTCATTTTTTATTTTTTGTTGTGCCAGGTGACCCCGTTGATGCGGCGACGTCATCAGTCAGAAACGTTCGTTCAACGCAAGGGATGGAGCGCCACGGCGACGACGTCATCACCCGCCGGCCGTATCAATTTGCCTTCGTCTATTTTGGTCTTTTGGCGTGAGTCGCGTTTGTTGACGCGGCCTTGCTCACCGAACAAGCGCTTCCGACTTGAAGTGCTCGTGCAGCGCTCGCTTGCTGACTTTCTGTCGCCTTCTCGACATGAAAAGGACGGCGAGTAAGAGGAGTGGCCATGAGGCAAAGCCCAAGTCGGAAAAAAGTAGAAACTAACAATGAACTAAAGTCGAAAGAAAAAAAAAAGAATAGCCTAACAAACTAGTATAAGAAGTGAGAAAAGTTACAAACAACCCAACAAACTGAAAAGCTGGCTAGCTAGTTAGCCAACTAACATCTTCGACCGATCAACCGCCCACTAACACTCAGGCTGATACGAACAAAGAAAGGAACGACAAACACTCGCGACGAAACCAACTGAAGTCCAAACGGACTCAATTGACATCGAGGAAAGGAAGAAGAACATAACTTGACGACTTAGCAAGTCGTCGAGTGACTCGGTACGTAACCGGGGACCGGTGGACAAAAGCTGAACCCGAGCGGAGGTCGCCACGGCTGCCCAAACAAAACCAAAGCGAATCATCTCAGCGGGGAAGAGACGGCGGTCGAGATGGAGGCATGATCTTAATGGCCGTCGACAGGCGGCGTGAAATGGGCTAGCGCGCTAACGCCAGCGCCGGCGGATGTGAAAGTTGCTCATTAAAGCCAGCGGGAAGGAGGGCGGCTCACGTGAACGCAAAGTCTCACGGCTGACGCTTCCCTTCGCGTTTCCTTCCTTTTACGCTCCGCCGAGTCAACGTTCAGTCAGCTCCGTGTGATTAGCTTAGCATCTCGGCAACAAACAAAACCACCCCGGCCAGTCGCGATGTCAAAAGCTACATTCCATCACAGGCTGTCAAATTAGCCCGTTCAACATCTGGGGAAATACACTCAACCTGTCGCGGTCCCATCCGGTGTGCCCCAGGGGTCCGCGCTTCGCCCGCACTTCTTTTTGTCTGTTGCAATTTGAGACGTCTCAGCCCGTGTTTTTGCTCGCAAGTATTTGGAGAGCTGCGGGCCAGATCGGGGACTGCGTATGACGCAGGAAACCTGACGCACCCGCACTGGCTGCGGGAGATCGCGTGGCTGAGGGCCACCCAAATACCTTGCCAGGCTGCCAACAGTATGTTGCGTGTGCTACCAGGACAAGTGACATCCTGCTCCGGAAAAATTTAAGGAGGCGGACTGCAAATATCCGGCGCGGCGCGGCGCTCCCCAAAAAAAGAAACGGCATATTTGGGACAGCATTCAGACATCAACAGTCACAGAATCATCCATGCGTCCGTCCATTCTCAACAGCGCTTCATCCCGAACAGGCTCATGGGGGGGGTGGCGTTTCACTGCTGTAACGTTGACTCGTCGTCAAAGGTTTTTGGGGTCTCCGGTTGGATCGAAAGGGCGATCGTTTGCATACCTTCGGGAGAGACTTTTTTCCAGGGCTGCGGCGGGTACATGAAGGCGGCGTTCTGGATCTGATCGTTGATGTCTTCGTCTTCGTTAAACGGGAACGTTCCGCTGAGGCTGCGGATGGGGAAAGGCAACGCGGCGGCAAGGTTAGCCAACGTTCTACCTGGCTGGAGTTGCCGGGCCGGGGTGGGTTTTTTCCGGGTACTCCACACGTTCCAAAAACATGCGCGGCGGGCGATTTCGAGCGTCGCGTGAGCGTGAGCGCGAATGCTCGTTTGGCTCCGCGCGTGCCCTGCGATCGGCTGCCCACTTAAAAGAAAAACGTCGCAAATCGGGCCAAAGCCAGCCGTCGGCATCCGGCGCGTGCGTACCTGACGTAGACGATGACTCCGACCGACCACATGTCCAGCGAGCGGTTGTATCCCTTGTTTCGCAGCACCTCCGGCGCCAGGTACGCCGGCGTGCCCACCACCGAGCGGCGGAACGATTTCTCGCCGATGATGCGAGCGAAGCCAAAGTCGCACAGTTTCACCTGCGACCGCAATAAAAAAACAAAACAAAAGAAAATGCCATTGAGTCGCCGGCGTCTTCTCCCGATTGGCCAAGTGGGTTTATCACCTGCGGGAGAGGGTCGGCCGACGCCAGCAGGACGTTTTCGGGTTTCAGGTCACAGTGGACGATGTTCTTAAAGTGGAGATGACGCAGGGCCACCAGGATCTGAACGCCGACAGCCGAAGCGCCAAAGAAACGAGGCAAAAAACAATCAAAGGTCTCGTGAGAAAATAGCAAAGGAGCAAATTGCCTTCGAGGCAATCTCGGGGGCGAAGGAGCGCTCGGTGATCGATGACGGCGCGCGCAACAGACGCCCACCTCAGACGAACAAACCAAGCGAAATGCCAATTCACCCGCTTGTTCAAAACAAACTGACCCAAGACGGACAAACAAACGACGACTAAGTAGCGAAACACCCGAGAAACGAATTGAGTGAGCGATTGACCGACGAACGAACCAAGCAACTCCACAACCGAACCAACTAGCGAACCCATCCAACGAGCGACTGACTTAGCGAGGAAGTCGGTGACACTGAAGGCAAGCGTCAAACAAAATCAGCCGATGAAGAAACAATCTCCTGAAGCGAGCCACCGGCCCGGCCACCGGGTGGCGCCCCGTCCGGTCCGGAAAGGAAAAAGCGAGACGAGGTGGAGGGAGCGCGGCAACCTGCGTGACGAGGAACTTGGTGATGCGTTCGGGCAGGCGTCCTTTCTCGCTGGACAGGATCATCTCCAGCATGTCTCCGTGAAGCTTCTCCATCACCACAAAAACGCGCTCGGGAGTCTCAAACATGCAGTCCAGGTTGACCACGCCGGGGTGATGCAGGTTCTGCCACCAGAGGGAGAACGCAGGTCACTTCGGGGGGGGGGGGATTCCTGCCCGTTGTCATCTGTCATCATAGAAGCACAAGTGCGCGCGTGCGCCTGTGTGAGCGTGCGTGCGTACTTGCAAGATGGCCACCTCGTTTCTGAGCTGGCTCTCCTGTTTGGTGGGGAAGCGAAGCTTGTCGATGATCTTGATGGCCACATCGCGGCTCGACTTCCTGTGCTTCCCTGGCAACGCGCACACGCAAACAAGACACACGTTGATCCAAGTGGTGTGTGGGGAAGAAGAGTGCTTGGGAAAAAAAAAATGAAATCTGCTTCGACGATCGGAAAATCGCCTCGTCCGAGAACACCCTTTCCATCCCAAAACGATCAATCGCTGACAGCGCCGTTGCCTTTCACCTCCGTAGACGATTCCAAACTGTCCGGAGCCGAGAACTTCATCTGGAAAGATCTGATAAATCGAGTTGATGTCCTGAAACACACGGAGAGGCGGCGATGATTTGGAAGAGCCGCGCATCGATAACTGAAAAGCACAAAAGCGGTCAAGCTAAGACGTGTCAAAGAATCAAAATGAGCTTGAAGATTTCCGTTGTCGCCCTCGAAACTCAGTGCCAAAGGGAGGAGATACAATGAAAAGGCCCCAGAATTGAACCCTGTGGAACACCAAATCAAATCATCTGGATCCAGATTCGTTGAAGAAGGCTCTACTGCAAAAAAAAAAAAAGTATCTGCATCCACATTCTTTGATTTGGTGCACCTGCTTGATGACAAAAAACGGGAGTCAATTGAACTTTCGGTGTACGTTGTATGCATGCGTTCTTCTTGCTGCTTTATGCCGTGCGCATGAAATACTTTCAGATGTGCTGTCACATCAGTTGGTGCGCGTGTCTGCTGACAGGCTAATATCACACCTCGCTCAGGAGCATACAAAGCAGACAATATTACCGTCTCCCGGCTGTCTAATTGCCACGCGTCACCATGGCGACGCTCGCTCAGCCTCACTGAGTAATCACAATCATCTCCAGCCGCGCCATGTGGACCGAGTGACCGCTCACCTTGGGCCGTGTGTGAGCATCATCACACCCCCGCGCGCGGGTGTGCGTGTGTGTGCGTGTGTGTGTGTGTGTGTGTGTGTGTGTGCGCGTGTGTGTGCGTGTGTGTGTGTGTGTGTTCTCACCACATTCTCCTGGATGTGACGGTTGGAGACAGAAATACTGATGGAGATTTCCTCTGTGATCACACAAAGAAAAATGTATTGAGAAAATCCACAAGGCCCCCAAATCATCACATTTGGGCTCGGTGCTGCATCATTTTGCCGTGGCTTCTTGAAATTTCTTTTGTTGTTCTACTCGTGCTAGACAAGCCGACGAAATTCCAAAGTGTCTTTGTGGAGAGAAGGTTTGAAAAATCACACATGGAAAATATGAGACCGACTCGAGAGGAACCAGTTCGTTATTTTGTCATCGCTTGTCGGTCTAACGATGACATGAGATGTCGACCAAATTTCATGTTGTTAAGTCAAACAGACTTTGTGCTGAATTTGGTCAAATTTCGAGCTACTTCTGTTGGCTACGCGAGCCGTGGAATGACATCATAATAAAACAATAAGAACCAAAGCAGGTGGATCAAGTTGTTGGACAAAAAAAAAAAAAAAAGCTTTCCGTCCTATCGGCTGAAGCTGCGCGGCGCGAGGACGCTCCATCAGACGTGAGTCACCGCCACATTGACGTCAATCCAAGTGGAAAATATCCGCCAGGGTTTCGCGTGGGAGTCGGCGTCCGCGTGCGGCCCATCGGCGAGAGCGGTCGGCGTCGCCGTATTTGAAGCGGTGAGCGTGCGCGATGTACTCACGGTGCCCGTCGCCACGGCAACCGTGGGAGACGCCCGTGGAAACGGCGGGCATGAGGGCGTGCCGGATGGCCATCTCCCACACGCGGGCCACGTCCTGACCCGCGCCGCTCACCTGGGAGGAAGTGACATCATCAACGTCAGTCCCGGACGCTCTCACGGAGACGCGCTCACGGAGACGCGCTCACCGGGCACTTCATTCGGGACACCGAGGACACGGAGTCGTCCGGTTGGGATTCGGCCTTTACAAACTTGAGAACGTTCGCATTCTTCAAATAAGTCATCTGTTTTTTTTTTTGTTTTGTTTTGTTTTTTCAACATTTGGCACCAAAGCCACTTTGAGCAAGTCACATGAAATTTGGGAGACTTGTCCGTCATGAGTGGACCCACCAAAAAGTCTCCAAAAGCATTGTGCGATTCATCGTTTGAAAGGGCTGAAGCTTGATCGCCCCAAAATGTGACTTGGCATAAGGAGCCCGACAGCGACGCCCTGGCCAAAAGCCCTTTCGTCATGCGCGTGTCCCTGATGTTGTGACCGGCCAATGCGCCGTGAGCAGTTTCGTTGTTCTTGTTGTGTTGCGTCACCAGCACGTCGGCGCCCGTTCCGCCGCCGCCGCCGCCGCCGCCGCCGTGCGGGTCCTCGCCCACAAAGTAAACCAAGGCGGCCGTGGTGGCGATCTCGAAACAGTGGGCGTTGGCGCCGTCCGGGAGAAGCGAGAAAGTCCGAGCGGCCTCCAGCGACAAGATCTCCGACAGCGGAATCTCCTGAATCACATTCAAAACAAGTCAATTCATTTTGGGGTGACGAATACTCATGATGTCATTGTAACATTGTTTTTTGTTTTTTTACCTTATAATATTTACTTCCCGTTTCGTTTTGGTACAGTGTGATGCATTTACTGTCCAGGCGCCAGTAATGTCGCTTCCTCTGAAACGCAAGATGATGCCGATTGTTACGCAATGTCACTTCATCGGTATTTATTCGTGACAAATGTGCAGGTAACAAGTCCGAGATGACAATACGGCTTCGCGGCGAGGAACTATGACGATGTGAGTCGAGGCGCTTCGTTTCAACAAAAAAAAATAATAATGGCGCTTTGGCTCCATTTGGTGGCACCTTGGTGCCAAGCAACCACAAGGAAAGGGAGTTAAGGAGGGTTTTTGGGGGGAAAAGTAGTGCTTTGGCATGAATTGGGAAATCTTCCAAGTCGCTCCAGTTTTGAACGACGCCATCCATATGCCCCAAAAACTATGGTGAAGTCAGTCGGGTGCTTCATTTCGAATAAATTAGTGTTTTGGGGCCATTTTCGTGCCAAGGAACTATTTTGAGAGCTTCGTTCCGACAAGAGTAGTGCTTTGGTTCGATCTTGAGCCACGTTCATGCCAAAGAGATGTGTTGAGGAGCTCACTTTTGACCCAAATAGCGCTTTGGCACCAGCACGCGGCATCCTTCCGCCAAGGAAGCGCAGTATGTCAAAGTGCGTTGAGGAGCTTCGTTACGATGAAAGCGCTGCTTTGGCGCGGAGGCTCTCCATTTAAGGCAAAGTAGCGCTTTGGCGCCATCGGCCACCATCTTTCCAATTTTCTAAGGGAGGGCGGTCAATTACGCCCCGCAAGCGACACAGCGGGCAGGAATGCCGGGCGAGCTGCTAACAGCTGGGCGACGTGCGACGCTACACGCTTGTTGGACGCGACGCTCCATGCAAAGCGAGACGGCGGCGAGACGAGGTGGCGGGATTACCAGAGTGTCCTTGCTGGTGTAGTGGACCATCCAGCCTTCCTTCATCACGTTGCTGTTCTTCCTCTTGGTGTGTTTGACCGACTGAACGACTCTCATGAGCGGGATGTTGTTACTGGTTGACGGGCTGCAGGGGCGGCGGGACAAACGTTTGATTGACACGAAACGAAGAGCGGCGGACCTCAGGGCTCTGTAGCGAATGCTCTGACTTTGATGGACCCCAGGTCACATGGCTTCTTTGAAAGCCTCAAAGAGGCTCCAGACCGACTCGAAGGCACATTTTTCCATCGGAAATCGACACCCTCGTCATTGGCGAAAAGCGTCGCCCTAGCCTCGCACCGAAAACCCCGCCTTTTTTTTTTTTCTCATTCCAATTTGAGCTCCCAACCTGACCCAGCCTTCCTTCATCACGTTGCTGTTCTTCCTCTTGGTGTGTTTGACCGACTGAACGACTCTCATGAGCGGGATGTTGTTACTGGTTGACGGGCTGCAGGGGCGGCGGGACAAACGTTTGATTGACACGAAACGAAGAGCGGCGGACCTCAGGGCTCTGTAGCGAATGCTCTGACTTTGATGGACCCCAGGTCACATGGCTTCTTTGAAAGCCTCAAAGAGGCTCCAGACCGACTCGAAGGCACATTTTTCCATCGGAAATCGACACCCTCGTCATTGGCGAAAAGCGTCGCCCTAGCCTCGCACCGAAAACCCCGCCTTTTTTTTTTTTCTCATTCCAATTTGAGCTCCCAACCTGACAGGTGAAAGCTCATTTCAACCGCCCACTTTGAAACCCTCGAAGTGTTAAAACCACAAATGGGATTGAAAGCATCGCCGTGTCTCCAAACTCCAACTTGAAGACGGAACCCTCATTTGAATCCCGCATCAAGTTTCGATACCCTAACGTGATAGCCCGAATTTGGGACGGGAATGGAGAAGAGTTTTCCCATTCATCTCAATTCCGTTGATTTATTGATTGTCTTGTCACGACTTTTTGGGGGGGTTGTAGACGAGGATCCATTTTGTTCTGCGTCTTCATTGCATCTGTAAAGCTCCGTTTCGAAAAGCGACATGAAAACGTCATTCACGTTTGAACATCCGAGAAGGAGCCGGCCTTGAAAGCCCAATTCGGATCCCTGCTCGGGTCGCGGGTGTGCACCTGATGGCTCTGTTGGACTCGTCCCCATCCGGGTCTTGCAAGGCAAAGAGGCTCGAGACCGACTCGAAGGCACATTTTTCCATCGGAAATCGACACCCTCGTCATTGGCGAAAAGCGCAGCCCTAGCCTCGCACCGAAAACCCCGCCCTAATTTTTTTCTCATTCCAATTTGAGCTCCCAACCTGACAGGTGAAAGCTCATTTCAAACGCCCACTTTGAAACCCTCGAAATGTTAAAACCACAAATGGGATTTGAAAGCATCACCGTGTCTCCAAACTCCAACTTGAAGACAGAACCCTCATTTGAAACACTAACATGATAACCGAATTCGGGACGGGAATGGAGAAGAGTTTTCCCATTCATCTCAATTCCGTTTATTTATTGATTGTCTTGTCACGACTTTTTGGGGGGTTGTAGACGAGGATCCATTGGTCTTGCAAGTCTCCAGGGTCTCCGGGGCCCGCCTCTGTCGTCATGGCGATGGTCATGTCATCCGTCGCCACGGCCGCGTCGTCGACATCGTCCATCGGGCCGCCGCCGCCGCCGCCGCCCCTCTCCTGATCGTCAAGGCAACCGTCCGCCATGTTGCCATCTGACTCCGCCCCGGGACTGAGCAGCTCTGCGGGATCAAGTGTCCGAGTGGTAGTTTGTTTGCGCGTGTGCGCGCGCGCGCGTGCGTTCACCTCCGTTTCTGGAAACTTCTCCCAAGCAGTTGTTTGGAACTTTTGTCGCGCAACGCTTGTGACAGTTGAATCGACAGTCTGAACGAGAAGAATCACAGCAAGAGGGGACCGGTGAGCGAGTTACGAGCGACGATTCCCCCCCCCACCCCCGCGACGATGTCCTGCGCGTGCGTTACCTTTGCACTGCAGGCCTTGCCTGAAGAGTCCCTTGAGGAGTTTCTTGCAGTGGTGGCAGACGGTGGGCCGCGTGTACGAGTGGATGAGGAAGCTGTGAGGAACTTTCACCTTGGACAGCAGCAGCTTGTCCAACTGGATGGGCCGCCCCACGTACGACTGGCAGCTGGCGCGCCGCTCGCGACCCCAGCGCGCCTCCGACGGCGGCGACCACTTCTGCCAAAAGCCGAGACGAGCTTCGAAGCCGTCGCCTCCCTCGTTCTCGTTTGGAAAACCCCGAGGCGGCCTTCGAAGCCCAATTCGGAAGCCCTCGCGCTATCCCGGGCGGGGTCCGCAAAACTCATCCCCAAATTCATCCCCAAATTTTGAGACCCAAGTCGTGGGTGTCAACCAGGGGTGGGCGATTGCGGTGCCGTTGGGAAGCGCCTTCTTTCCATCCCTCCGCGTGCCCCGGGCTTGAAACCTGGCGAATTTCCAACCCCGCCCCCGAACCC